GGAGCCACTGAGCACAACAGTGCTGAGGGAGCCAGGGACACTTACTCGGTGCCAAGAACACAGGCCAAGTCTTGTGGCATGGGAGAGACAGGACCTCAGAGGCAAGGCAGGGATGAGCTAATTAAGATGGGCTACTCCACACCACCTCCCTGTGCGGGGAGCCTCACCCCAGCACCCCGCTGCCTGTGCGTGCCCATGCCAACACAGACATGCTGGGGACGGGCGGAGCGGTGCGGGGAAAGGTGCATACAACCGTAGTCACAAGCAGATCCAGCCAACAAGCTGCAGGTTCCCTCTCCCCATACTAGGGGAGCAGAGATGACGCCAACGGCGATTACCCCAAACACTTGTCTCCACGCCAACGGTCATTAAAAAGTTGCTTTTGAAAAGCTCATATAGTCTACTATCTCATGTGCCCAAGCAACAGAAGGATGCTTTGCCATCGCTTTTCTGAGGACAGGACTCCTGTCTCCACACTGCCTGTGGGGCGAGAGCCCAGCCCAGCCCCGTAGGAGTGGGGGGACGTCAGCGAACAAGGGAGATGACGTTAGGAGGGAAGGGAAACTGTGCTATGACTTGCAGAGGTTGAGGTAGGGCACCCAGAAAGGCATCTGACCGTTGTGGAAAAAAAGGGAAGAGCTGTGCCCTGTGCACGAGGGGTCTCTTCCCAGGCTGCAGTTTTGGCCAGCCCAGGTTGGTGGGGCACGCTGCATCCACACCACCCAGCTGTTTTGCACACCTCGCACCGTCTCGGGGTGTTTCTGCCCAGCCCAGGGTGCCTGGTGAGGCCAGGAGCCCCCGGAAGGTGGGGATGGCGCAGGCTGGTGTCACTATCACAGCTCAGCTCTGCTCTCACGGGGTGAAGGGCTGCAGGGGCGCACAAGGGAGCAGAGCAGCTTTTGTGCTAATAGTGAGGGGCAAGGGGCATAGGTGGGTGCAAAGAGAAAGCAGGGCCAAAACTACATCCAGGATTAAACTACAGAAAGGAATAACCACACAGATCTATATGCGTACAGAGGTCTGTGTGTGACATGCACACAAGAAAAAGTCAAAATGAGACAGGAGAGGGGAAAGGATGAAGAAGGAGAGGTGACCAAGGGGAAGAGGGAATCCAGCCCTTGCAAGCACAGCTGCGGTGGAGAATGTTGGACATTGCAAGCAAAGCATTGAGAAGCAAGCTGGGCTCGGTGCTTCCAGCAGCAGCAGGAAGAGTGGTCATTCACTTGGGTCTACAGCTTGTCTGATCTCTCAGACTCCCAATGCCACCTCCAGAGCTGTAAGAGAGCATCACAGTGCTCACAAGGAGACTAGCAGCAGAAAACAAGGTGTCACAGGCACTGGCAGTGTGGGATGGGAACCCCCCCGAGAAACAATAACCACCTGGCAGGAATCACATGCTCCCTCCTCCTCACGCCTCCAACAGCCGCCTGACAACAGGCTTTGCTCAGCTCATGCACAAGCTGCCACCATCAATTGCTCCGCACAAGAAAATTTGCTACAGCAAAAAAAACCCAAAACCCAAACATCTGGAAGGGATGATCTGTAGTCTCCATCTTCATGTAAAGAATAGGTTGAACAAACATCTCTTGGGCTTTGATTAAGTCAAGGTGATGTTGCCTAAAGGAAAGCAGTGGACTAGATCTCGATATCCAGCTTGACCTTCCTGGCTTTCTAAGGCCAGATTAAGTCACACGAAATCCACCCCTCCCACCTGCCCAAAGGGCCGATCCTCTCATTCTCAGAAAGCTTGAAACAACTCGTGTTACTCTAGAAAAGGATCTTGACAGATGAGAGAGAAAGGGAAGCACCTCCAGTCTACACAGCACTAGGGTTCACTTCAACCAAAGCAACGATTTCAATGCAGGAAAAAGGGCACACAGACGCTTATTTTTTGACTGATCCAATGAAGCGTGATTTTGCTCTGGTCAGTTGTACCCTGCCTTGCATTGAAATATTGACATTAGCTTTAGAGAACACAGGCTGCACCTTGACAAGACAATAAGCATAATAAAAAGGCAGCTCGGGGTGAAAGGCAAAGCAGCCCGCTCCTTCACTTCACTGCCAGGAGAGGGCCTGCAGGGAGCTTTCCTCTGATACTCCAACCCAGTGGCTAAAATTAAAATATATTGAGCCAACAAGCAGCCTCCGGTAGTTGTTTAATAATGACCACTTAAACCCCACAGTGCAGATAAAATACGCCTCTCCCTCCCCACGCACCATGCGACGACAAGACAAATCCCTGCAGGACACACGCCTGCCGCAGCTCCTTCTCCCCCAGAGCTGGCAACTCCGCTTCGCACGCAGCCCCACATCCTTCCCAAACACACCTCCTGGGTGCACATCCTCCGGCTGCCGGGGCGGCAGTATGGAAGGCGGGCAGCACAGCCCACCCTCCCAGGCCAGAACGTCCCCTGCAGTCACAGCACTGTGTCCCTGGTCCATCACAAGCGCTGGGATGGGACCAAGCCAAAGGGGTGTTTGAGGTTTGCTGGCAAGGCTCTAGTTTGAAGTTATCACAGTCCAAATCTTCCTCAGTTGAGAGCAAAACCCATTCCTGGGGTCTGACTTCTTTGGTGGAAAGCTGTTCCCCCAGTCACGTGAATGACTCATTTCTAGGTTTTCTTTTTCTGTTACATTTACAATGGAATTTCTAATGGCTGCTGATTTGCATCATGCAAGCCCTGCCAACTGCCCACAGCCTTTTCGTCCACCAAACCAACATTTCTGCAATTACCTTTAGTTTGCATAGTTTATTTAATGAGACGCCTGGAAGGCCCCTAGGGACTTTCAGCTGGCTCTGCCCCCATCCAGACCACATCACTGGTAAGGCTGCAGGATTCAGCCTCAGACAGATGCCCTTTCAGCTAGAAGTTCAGCTGGCACTCAAAAAACATCACAGCTCCAGTCTGCCCTGAAGGAAGAAGCAGACAAAGCTCAAGAGAAACCAGCTACGTTGCTGCAGCTGATGTAGCCAGAGCTGGGGGGCTGCTGGCCATGCACCGGGGACAGCAGAGACCTCCGAGTCTCACTGCTAGACCCACTCTGGTACCCCCAAGAGTCTGCAGCGCTGTCTAGCCTGCGCCTGCTGCGGGCTCCTCCTGCCCAGCAGCCTCCCTCCATCTTCAGTTCACGGCATCCCCCAGCCTGCCAGGCTCCCCTGTCCCATTAACCGGTGCCTTCCCGTCCCAAGCTCTTGTGCACCCACAACAACGGTCCCTTCCTCCCCCTTCTCCTTCTGAGTTTCACTGCAAAGGCACCCCTGCGGTGCAAACTGCAGGGACAATTCTGTACAGGGGAAATCCTCATGGCTCCAGGGAGATCACTGGCCTCCCCTTCTGTCTGTCCCCATGGGCCATCCCCTATTTCATCTGTGCATACCTGGTGGATGCACGACCCCCGTTCCAGCTGCCCGGGCTCCTTGCCAAGCTCAGAGCACAAGCCCTGCACCAAATGCCAGTTTTGATTAAAAGATCAGTGACATTTTCATACATGTACATGGAAGTTTGCTAGTTTAATTTATAGAAGGGCATATTCAAAGAACATTTGCTGAAGGCTTTCTCCAAAACATCTTTTATGAGCACCATTTTGTTCTGTCAGGCCAAGGAGGCTGCAAGCACGAAGGTGAAAAACTGCTAACAATGTCTTATTTTGGAAGAATTGCTTCTTTGGTTAGAATCATTTTTTATTTTTAAATTTTGCTCTCTTGAGTTTCTGTAAGATTTTACACTATTCAGAGTTTTAACTAGCAAAACTAGTATCATTATGTAAACCTTACTGCATCTCTGCGCAACCTTAACACTCAATACACCAAATCCTGCCATATAAATGTGCTGAGCCACGAGCACGAGTCAGGAACCTGATCGTCTGATCAGAAGAGTCCACTCTCTAACAGGATCTGCCTTTGGCATCCCCTCATTCAGAAAGGTGTTTTGTTATTTTATTGATAAAAAGAATATTCTCTTAACCTTGTAACTCAATCCTGAAAAGGGCTTCAGAGACATGCAATTCAGCTATTAGTGATAAGCACAACAGAAACACCCAGAAGGAAATTAAGTATTGCTTAGATAGCATGCAATAAACGTACAGGGCCATGACGTGAATAATGATAAAAAAAAGATATAGCGAGCACTACATACTCACTGAACACTTTTCATCCTGGGTGCTAAGCGGGTCAATCTCTGTGAAACATGACTATATCATTAAAGACCACGATAGCGCACACACTTCAATTCTGCTACCCCAGAACTGGGCGTTTCCCTTCACAGCCGACACATCAAAAGCGTAAGCGGAGACCTGACTCTTGCACAAGACACTTCATCCAGCTCTAGGCCAAAGACACTGTGCTCTGCTTAACAGGCCATGCTATCTAATACATGCTGGCAGCCTCTTCCATCAAAAAGGAGGGGTAGCAGGCAAGGAAGGTGAGCAAAAATCCTCTTTTATAATCGAAATTGCCAGACACATTCAAGCTGCCAGACAGATCTAGGAATTATGACAAAGGTCATAAGGAACAAACCCGGGATTTTGGTTCTCCCAGTGAAGGCTGGGACAAGATCAAAATGGCAAGAAAGGAGGAAGACAATGGAGCACCGGGGAAGAGGGGGATGTTCTAACAATCACACACATGGCTGCAACCATGAATCTCGTGTTCCCTACGAAGGAGGAACGTGCAGAGCAAGAGGAGGAAGGCCAATTCCTATTTCATATTCTGCTTGTGAATTCTAACTTTACAGGCACATTCAGACCTGCACGATCTCAGCCTGAGATTTTTCTTCCTATCCCTTGTGTTGGGAGCAGAGGTGGAGAACACAGTGACTTGAGCACAAATCAATGCAACGCTGTCCGCCTGCAGGTAGCCTCGCTCCTGTGAACTTGAGACAGGAACAAAAACAGGAGGAAAAAAAAAAAAAGAGTCCGAGAAAAGAACAGAAGAAACTGGGTAAAAACTGGTTACACACATGCTTCCCCAGGAAGCAATGCAGCGTACCGCAATCAGAGAGGGAACAATGAACCATAGCTCAAATGAACAGCTTGAACAGTTCAAAGTTCAGCTGCTGTGCAAATGTTATAATCTGCTCTCGTTGTCTGCAAACCATCCAGCCCCAGCCAAAGTTCTATGAACTAAGGGGAATGCGTGTTTTCAGTTGTATCCTTGAACAAAGCATCCTCCTGCTCATCACTGCAGCGCCAGGAATGTTATGGGCACATACAAGGAAATACAGAATGTAACCCTTTTCTCCAGTTCTCAATCTGTCAAACGTCATTCCCTTGCTTTGATTTCATATATTACAGGTGGCAGAGAGCTCTCTCTCCAGGAATGAATCAATCTTAAGGGACAGGTGGACAGATTCGTTTTACTATTGACTGACCTATAGCAACAAATGCTGACAATGATTACCAGCACTTCTCAAGAAGTTACCTACTCGTTTCATTAAATCTCAAACAGCATTCATGCCTTGACCTTCAACATCACCTTCTTCTTAAAGAAGAAAACTAAATTTACCAAGGCATGTAGACTTGAATTTTTTCTAATCATTTACTATTCAATTCCTGAAAAGGTGTTAAAGGGTTCACAGGTCCCATGTCAGTATTTTGGTCTGCTCAGCAGAAATATGAACAATTGGCTGTATTGTTAGGGCCTGGTAACAAAATGCCTTGAAAAAAATGGGGCTCCTTCCACAGGTACCTGTGGAAATGCAAAGATTCTGGGTCTGGATGTGTTACAGACTCCTTCCCCCATCCAGGGAAAACGACAAAGGAAGGGCTTCAAAAGCTTGCAGGCACCAGCACTGTGACTCCTGCTGAACAACGGGAGCTTGCGTCGGAGAGAAGATGCTCAGCACTCCCAGGCAGTGGAGGTGGTCGATCATGGCTCCTGCGACTGGTGCATGGTGGAGGCAGAGGTGCTGATGAGGTCTTGAGGAAGGCTCTCGCGTGCTTCCTGCATCCGGCGCCGTGCCCTCTGGAAAGCCTCTGCAACACAGCAGGTGACAGCAAGACAGAACGCATCAGACAGCCTCAGGGAAGGGGAGGGATGAGTCTGTCCAGTGAACATCATCTCTCCTGGAGCAGGAGTCTCACTTCCTATTACTAAGTTCCACCAACAAAGCACCTGGCCCTTGCTGCTCTCTTCACTTATTTCTAGCGTTGTCTTTGCTCTGTGCATAATGGAATCAGAGACAGAGCCTGTGCATCAGTGCCACGAGCTATGCTCAGTGCCAGGCAAGACTGGGCAGCCCAGCCTAGGCTTTGCCCTCACAGAGTGGTTTTCCCTCCTGCCTGCTGAGAGCTGATGCCTCCTGAAGCTTCCAGCTCACATGAGAACATTTAACCTCTGCTATGGACTCAGAGAGCTGATGGGGGGGCAATTATCCCCACAGTAATGGATTCTCCTGAAATACCCTGCCTGCTCTGTAAAAAGGGGGCAAAAGTGAGCCAAAGGCTCACCAGGGAGAATGACACCGAAAGCCCTACCCAAAACATTGTAGACAGAGCTCTGCTGGCTGAAGCCTCCAAGCCGGTCCAGTACACTCTGCATGCGCTGCCTCAGGGCACTGGTTTCCAGAAAGGCTCTGCACAGAAGTACAGTAGGAGGTCAGGGCTGCCAAAACACAGCACACAAGATGGAGCTTGTACTCGCTTTGCTGCACTTACTTAGACTGCTGCAGACAGTAAAGCCGGAACGTGACGCTCCCCGTTGTCTCTGTGCGAAAACCAAAGCGGCTCAGACGCTCTCCCTGCAAGGACAGCACAAATTAGAGTAACCACAGCCTGCAACCTGCTGCAGCAGGCTGACCCTAGTGAAAACAAACGTGTCCCACCAGGAGCATGCACTCCTGTGGGCAGAGTCTCTCCCTTCCCCACTGCACACAGAAAACGAGGTCCAAAAGAAGGGCAGACAGTTCCAGGCTGTGCTGAGGGCAGGACCTAAACACTAGCAAGCTGATAGTGCGGTGGAGGAAGGTTTCAACAACTGCATCAGGGCTCATTCCCAAAGCTGCTACTAAGATCAACTTGCTCATTACACCAGCAAGCACCTCTGCAGCTTTCTTAAGAAAATTCTTGTGAAATTTCTGCCTGCCTCACGCCCATCGGCTTCTTGCTTGGGGAAACTGTTCCAGGCGCAGTACAGCCCAGATTCCTTACAAAAACACAGGAAGAAGTCTATAGCTGGTAACAAATGCTGACCTGACAGACACTTTCTGGACAGGGCCAGCACAGGCAGGGGTAGGTCAAGGCTTTGGTCCGTGCTCACCCACTTCTCTAAGCTGCACACACCTCAGAAGGCAGAGCGCTCTGCCTCAGCGTTTGCCGTTCTTCCGTTCATGATCACAAGTCTCACAGAGGAGACATTTCTTTAGTGAGAGGGACAGAACCACCAGCTCATCCTTATTCAAATCTGGTCCAGGCTGTCCACAGACATCTGAAGCCGTGAGCATAATCTACCATCTCCCAGCAAGAGCAATGCCCTGCAGGTGAGCCCACCTTGAAGGTTGATGGTATCCTGACGTAGGTTATGTCCTCCAGCTCAGGAGATCCACCAATGAAAAATCTCCTCAGCTCAGCGACTGTCCCCAGCTCCACAGGGCGCCAGGTAGGGATGGTGAGCATGTGGAGACCTGACCCAGGACAACAGGGCAGCTTAGCAGCTGTGACCAACAATCTATTCAGAGTCACAGAGGACAGCATGGTAGATGGATACCTGCTGACCCAAACCACGTAGGCTGGAAATGGAAACACTGCACGGTATCTCTATAACATTTTCCCAGTGAGTCAGCCCCATCCAGTCACACAGCCAGCGTTGAAAGTACCCCCTGCCCATGAGGAGCATCTCCTTACTACACGGGGGTGTCAGAATAGTTGTGACCCTCAGATTCCATGTGGGACAGAGAGGGCTACTGCTATTGTAAAGATGGATATGCAGCATCACCCCAGAGCTTTATCACACAAGATTTTGTGACAGAACCACTGAAGGAGCAAGGACAGCAACACAAGATGCATCTCAACAAGGCAGAATGGTGCGGGATGCATCAAATCCTTCTTTGCTGCCCCACAGACAGCTAATTATCCCCTTCAGCATGCAAAGGCAAAGCTTCCCCACGACCAGCTGAATCCATTCCCAACAGAACCACTCAACTCATTCTCCCAATTAACATAATGCCCCAAGTATGTTTTACCTGGAGATGCTGGCAGCACCAAAGAACCATATCCTTCAACGCGATACCTCTGCCAGAAATCCAGGGACAGGACCTCAAAGTAGAGAACAGGCCACTGAGGGAGACTGTCTGCAAGGAAGGGGAGCAGATCACAGCTTTGTGAGAGAGACTATCACAGAGAAAAAAAACTGCTAAATGCCCAACTCCACTAGTAGGAAGTCCTTTCTGTACTACTTCTACAATGACTAACTTAGATGTATGGGTGATTATTTTCCCCTGTAAAAGCTGAACCCTCAGATCTGAGGATGAAAACAGAATTATTGACGTTAAAAATTTGGGAAAATTCTTTGTTTTGAGAGCAAGTCCAAACTGGTTTCTCAATTATCTTCAAGCAGACAAGACAATCTTTTGTGAATGATCTGATGCCAAACAGGGGAACATTTCTATCTCTGACCTTTCCCACCATTATTGGGGGATTATTAACTTGGATTCTCCTACAGGTCTCCAAGCATTTATTTTTTCCATGATGAAACAAACTCATTGTGCTTATTCTAGGCCGAAAATTCATTAGTGTTGGTTGACTACTCAAATCCAATGCGTACATTGGATTCAAGTGGCAAGGCACGCCGCAAAGCTGTCCCTAGCAATTGCAATCCAAAGAGCAATGGGGTTGGTGAGGAAGCAGCAGTAGCGTAGTGAAGCAGCAGGAACAGGCAGCAGAGAAGCCCAGCTTAAAATAGAGCTGGAATTTTCAAAGTGACATAAACTACACAAAGATTATACAGGTCACTGACTATGTCTAGAAACGTAAGGCTCAGCACGGAGTTTTAGTTGTGTACAACAAAGCTGCCTGTTTCTTCTGCTGCAGAGTCCCAGGGCTCTATGCAGTACACCAGGCACGGCAACACAGACCAGCATGCCAGGCATTCTGAGACAGACAAGCTAAGATCCAAGTAGTTTTGCAACTGGATAAAGCTGACTACAGCCTGGAAGCAGGGCAACATCAATGAATCCATACAAATGCTAATGCATTGCTGGGCAGGGCAAATATAATATGTGTCCAGAGGTTGTGTGGTGACAGGGTGAACATTTGCTGAACAAGCAACATTTCCCTTTGTTTACATCTGTCCTTTCATCTTGGTGAGGGGTCAACAACATGCCAGACAGCACGATGCCTACACTGCGATCGAAAGATTTCAGAGTTTCACATTTCAGAGCAACAAGGAAACACACCTTCCGATTCGTCTCCTTGGGTGAAAAACATCTCCAAAGTGAAGGGGTAGCAGAAGTATGCCACATTATCCTAGAAAAGGAACAGGACAGAGATCAGATTCCTGGACAAGAGAATTCACCACTAGCATTGCAGGGGGCACAGAGAGCAGGAAGAAAAGAACCAACGGTGGAAAAGAGGTAATGATGCCCAAACAAGATCAGTCACAACAGACTAACAAACACCTGACTGCATGATGGACCTGCATACACTCCCAAGCGCCACGTTGATGCAACAGGCTGTTAAAAATAATGAAAAAGGGGAAAGAGTAGCACACCTCAAATGACAATTCAGCCAGTTGCAACTACTACACCGCCACAATCTTTACAGGAGCCAAGCAAAATACCTCAAACAATGGTATTACTGAAATGCTGTATGATAATTATTCTTGTAATATGCAAACTAGCTCACATAAAAGACATTAAAAAGTTGATAAAATTCAAATTTTGTAAGAGAGGAGCTGGAGACAGCAATGGAACCAACTTCCCAGATAGGAGGAGGGTTCATTTTGAGAAATCAATTTAGAGGCTGTGTGCATTCCTGCCCCAGGCAAGCCAGAACAATGCTTTGTTAACTCTGAGCGTTTGAGAACACAAAAATCAAAGCTCCAAAGGCAATCAATCAGCCAGAAGGAAGAAAAAAGTGAGGTTCCAGAAACTGCTTTGAAGCAGTTTTATTTGGTCTAGTTTTATTTGGACACAGTGGCACCCTGAAAAATGGCAAGTATGACTAGAATGAGGAGAATCCCAAACATGCTCTGCCCTTGAAAGGAGCTCTCAAGTCAGGACCTTTACTGAATATATCTGTAGCTTGTTACACATGTTCCACTTCAGAGAATGCCTGTTCAAACTTCTCTGCAGGTCTGAAAGCGTCCTTACCCAGCCCACTGTCTTGGTGGCACAGGTCTGTGTCACTCCTGATAGCTGCTGGAACGCGGGGCTCAACCACTCTGGGAGAAGAGGAGAACGTGAGCACAGTGGTGAATGCTTTGGGTGAGAGGGAGGACTCACAAACCAGAGCAGCTCAAAGGAGAATGTTAGTCCCAGATGACTGGGATAACATAACATCACCCACACCGAATTTCCCTAGGTGTGTCCCACCCTATCTTTTTCCAGGCAACGGCTGCTCCCCAGAACACCCTGAACTGTCAATGAAAAGCACCAACTCCATCATAAGAGAAAAGTAGAACCTTATCTAAATGTACTGAGTAGCAAAAGCGGTACCTCTTCAGGCAAAACATCAGGGTATAACCAGGCAGGGGAGCCATAGCCATAGCTTCACGGGAATTAAATATGCAGCAGGATGTGCATGTTAGTGCTGGGAACCTTATTTATCAGTCAAAATTCAATATGTTAGTGTCAGCACAAAACATGAGAACATGATGGTGAGCACTGAAATCAGACAAGGTCACTGCTGAGACGGAGAAGACAGGAGGGCTATTCTCCGCAGTATAAGGAATGAACTTTGGGTAGGCTGCTGGACACGATCACCACTGGCTGAGAAGCCAATGGACCTCTATGTCCCAGGCTGATTTGGAAGAGACGAAAGGGGAAGATGCTACTTTCTCCCAGACATGAGTTTAGTTCAAACAACTGAGTTCTGCAATTTTAGCTCTGAAGACTCTGACTAGGTCCCAGCCCCAACATTAACTTTTACTGACTTTCAGCAGAGCTGATCTGATGGACCAGCCAAAGCATGCTTCATTCCTTAAACTGCTGTGATATGGCTGGAAACGTCAATACTTACGGTTAGGCAGCTCCAGGAAGAAATGAACATAGAGGTTGTCATACTCATAGCCTTGAGCTGAAACTGAGAAGAGAGAGTGAACTTCAGCTGCTCACTTCCACACAAGCTCCTCCAGAACTCACTGTAGACTGTAGATTGGGAGAGCCAGCACCAATAAACCCAGGGACAACCAATTACTGCTGGAAACTGGGAAAAGCCACGGTCTTCAAAGTAACAGAATATGTCCCTGAGAGAAGATTCCTTCTCTAGACTAGCCCTATCCCCATATCACTAACCAGATTAGGGAGGTCACACATCTAATTGCTCTCTTTGCTATAATCTCTATTAACTTCCCAATCTGCTCTCCTTTTTTCAGATCTGTACGTCTTCCTAGAACAGCTGCAGTATTTGTAACTTCCAATCTGTAAATGCCACTCAAGGGGTTAGTCCACAAAAACAGGGGAGGAGAAGGAGGAAGTAAAGGATTCTAGGGAGAGAATCACCAACTCTGGACCGGCCTGTGATCCAAGAATCCTTGGACCCTTCATAGCCTCAGCCATCCCAGCAGACCCAGATTTGCCCCTGTAGTTACTGTTTATAATAAGGACTCACCTATTTCTCCATTCACAAAAAGTCGCAGTGTACCAGGAAGAGTCTGTAAGAACGAGCAGATAAACAAGATAAAGAGTTCAACGACCACTGGCGGAACCTCATACAATCCCCTCCCAACAGGGTCCCACACAGATTTTTCAGACGTTTGTACATGAATGATTCACTCTGCTGCCTAGGCAGGAGTCATGACTTCTCGTATCACTTTTCAGAAGTGAACAGTCCCTCTGGAGAGAGACTCTCTAGAGAGACCAAATTCCTAGACTGCAGGAGTTTACTATTCTGTAAATCGGTCTCTTACAGACTTCGAGATGGATATAATACCAGTAGTGAGAAGTCACTTGCAGAAATCATAGTCCTGTTTCTCCTGTAGTTACTGCACTTGCCCAAGGTGGGGGGCGCAAGGGGAAGCATAGGAGGAGCTGAGACACTCTATCGAAGTACAAGAAAGTACAACAACTTTCACACTTTGGCAAACAAGATTTGAGCAAAAAAGATTGCAGTCTTAGTAGTTCAGTGAGAAGGGAAACTGTGCATGAGTTTGGGGGTGGGAGGGGCTGTTTACTCGAACAAAGTGGCACTTAGACGTGTTTGACATTCAAGAAGTTAACAGCAATCACTATCCCAAAAGATATAAACCTTCCTTTCTTCTTAAAGTATTATAGTCAAAGGCCTTCAGACAAGCCTTCAGAGACTGCAGCGTTCAGCACACTCTGCTGCTGGTCCAACAGATGCAGGATGGATCTCTGCAGGCCCCATATCCATTGCAACCTGTCCCTTTTGACCCAATTTTCTGTTGGAAGCCACAAGGTAAAAGCTGCCAACAACCCCCCAGAATGAAACAGCCTTTGGAGACTGTGGTACAAATGGCAGCTTTGCTAACAAGGACAACAGTCTCCAAAGGCAGCAGGGCGCCAGGTCCCTGCCGAGTGCCGCTGGTACTCACCATTTCAAATTCTGAGCCTACGAGACCACTGAGGTATTCCTTGTGCCGACTGTACAGCTGAAAACACAGAACAAGCGGATTAGAAAAAATGTCTTTTTGATTATATATGTTTTTACTTATTGCAAAACTTGCAATGGATATAACTTAAAACCAATCTAAATCATTGACAGGCTTACCACACAGGGTTTTTTAATCATTATAGCAGATATAGAGAATATAAGAATCTAATAGAACAAAGATGCATAATGGCTAACACCGCATGGAACTTCAGCTTCAGAGGAGACTTCACCAAAGGCCAATCTAAGGGAAAAAGAAGCTCTGAAGAATCAGATCTTAAATGACATGCTAAAAAACACAGGCATAAACTATTCCAATGAAATCAACAGATGGGAGATCAGCGTAGCGAAATCATGATTTCCTTATTGACCACAAAAACAATAAGGAAACGTACAAATGAAAAACTAAAACATTAAGTACCTTATGAACTGCCACAGCCAAAAAGGCAATTCAGAAAGATCAAGACAAAATGAAATCCAAATATCCTGGGACATCACGGGTAACAAGAAATCATTCAATAAGTATACAGGCAGCAAGAGGAAGACCAAGGAAAGGGTTTGCCCACTGCTCAAAAGGGAAGGAAAACCATTGGCAGGTGACACTAGAAAGGCACGAATTTAGGTGGTTTCTTGCATCAGTTCTCACTACATAGATCACTGTACTCAGAGGCCAACACACCTAATACCGGACAAGGCCTCACCTAAAGTAAGGAATGAAGCAGTCAGGGAGTATTTGTTGGAGTTCTCAAATTGCTGGGCATGATGAGACTCACTGCCAGTGACATTCATTTTGTCAACTTTAGGTGTCTACAGCACTAACAATTACATCTACATGAGAGTCTGAGCTCCCTCTGTCAAATCAGGAGAACTAGTCAATACGACCAGTGGAGGCCGGTCCTTACGTCTCTGAACACACACTGCTCGCGTTCCTCCTCCTCTGGCTGCACTTGGACAGACGCATTCTCAATGGTGTATTTCCACACCTCTCGCTTCTCTCCATCCAGCTCGATCCTGCAGAGCCCCAAAACACATGGGCAAAACTCCCCCATTACGCAGAGAATAGGCACAAGCAGCAACAGCATCAACTGTGCCACCCCGACACAGCCGTCCCCCCCTCCACCAGGCCTGTGCAGTAACACAAAGGCACTAATGGCCCCCTCCTCACACCCAAGTGCCTGCCAGCATCAATGACTCAAAAAGGGAGACTCGCTTGTGTCCAGCATATGCATAACCTGTATCCCTAGTGACTGGCACCAAAGCCCCACACATCACACATGCAGTGACACCAAGCACAAGTACACAATAATCTTGTCTTAGAAATCTCTGGAATAAAACTAAAAAAAAAATCCCTCAATTTAAGTGCTGATCCACTGCCTGAAGGGTGACCAGGAAACAGCCATTTCAGCCCTCTGTATCAGTCCCACAAGAGGTACCGGCCCTGTCCCACTCACCGGTAGGCTCCTTTGGTGCCAGTAAAGTCAGGCTTCACTGTGATCACCCCGTTGCTGTCCACCTTGATTGTGCAAAGAACATGTTCATACTCCCTGTGACCAAGCCTAACAGAAGACATCAAGAAACACAGTCTTATTAGAGAAGACGGACACTCTCTTGCTGTGGAACAGCAGAGCTGGTAAAGGCACATGGGGGTACAGAAGGGAACAAACACACCCATACTTTCCTACATCAGTTTAAGAAGCCTTTTGGAGGGATACACTCAGTTACCTCGCAACTGAGGACAGAGGCAGAAAGAAAGCAGCCCGACTTACTGAGCTCTTGGAATTCTCTCCCCTTAACTAATGAAAGAAACAGGAGATCTGAGTAAGGAGGGAAGATGGGTTTCCTTCTGGGAAATTAAGATCACTTCAGGATTTTACTTACTTCCCATAAGGTCCCAAGTCCCCCATGATGTACATGGTCTGGACAGGAGTGTTAATAACATGATTGTTCTTTATAAATTCTTCTGAGGGTTCCCAGGTGACGATTTTCGACTTCAGAGAACTTGCTTCTCTGTCAACAACAGAACAGCCAAAGTCACAGCTCACCTCAGCAGCCTGGCACAGGCAGCACCGAACCCCCCACGACAAGGAGTCAAACTGACGGATTCCAAGTGCGACACAGCTCAAGCCACCAACTTCCACGGGCCAGGCTGCTCCGCAGCTGGGGCACCAGCACCAGGAAACCTGTGTTAGCAAGCTCCGAGCCCCAGTTTGCACTCACATTGGCCTATGGTCTTGTCTTCTCCTCCTCACATTGGCCATCCTCTCTGCCAGATATGATGGCACCTCATGATCTGAGTCAGTTACCTTCTGGCAGTGCTGGAAGAGAGAAACAGACGGGAACTAGCTTAATCATAACAGGACATCTTTCCCAAACACAGCTCCACTCTTGGAGCAGAGAACAGGTACGCACGCACCCACATGCAAGGACAAACTGCTAAAAGACTAGATTTCATTCGCTGTTCTTGTGGCAAAGTACAGCTAAACTCCACCCAACAAGTTACCTACAGAGCAATGCTACAAAGCCAGGTCCCTCCAAGCTCCCCTGGCCATCGTTCTCAAACAGGGAGATCTCATCCCGGGTCTGGGGCACCAGGTGAAACTGCTTTGCAGAAGCAGTATGTTTTCCTGCATACAGGACACCTGGCTTGCTTCTGCACAGCCAAGAACTGACGAATGTTCCCTCTGCAGTAGGCCTGGCGGTTTTGACAGACGCTGCTGTATAGGTTATGCATAACTAAGACCTGGTACCTCCTCTAGGTTGGTGAATCGGTCATGATCAGTGTAGGTGAAGATGCGATAGTTCTTCCGACCTCCAGCCTTCTCCAGTTTCAGGATCTCCTCGTGGTAGTGCCGGTCCAGGGGAGTCTGGCAGGCTGACTCATTTTGGTACAGATCCACCTCAAACTAGGAGCACCACAGGTAAAGCGCAAAAAGATGCCTTTCACCAGCACTGTCAGAGCCACCATCACTTTTCAGCTGAGATTTCCAAAGCCACCACAGAGAGAAACAAGATCCTTTGGGAATCTCAGCAAACAGTCCGAGCTCCGGAGCGGCTCCGGCACTGCTCAGGCATGCGGCGGCCAACAGCACCCACCCATGCCCACCTGAGGGGGCTCGGGCAGCTGCTCGAGCAGCTCACCCCGGAGCAGGAGGCCCTGCAGGCAAGCGCGGCAGGGCGGTGGCACAACGAGGAGAAACTCCCCCGAGCCCCCTC